ATACATGAAAGTCCAGGATCCAGGCACACACACAGAGAAACAAAAAAGTCTGTTTAGCTAAAAAGTCTGATTTTTTGTCTAAGGTTTTAGAGCAGAAAAAATCACATAAATTCTTAATGCCATGCACAGAATCAACGACTATAGCGATACCGTAATTTTCATTCTTTTCTTTCCTTTCACTATCTGTCAATCAATACTAACGTCTAACGACTACACGACGGCCCATCACTATCTTCTATTGCTTGGTTACAGAACAGAAATCCTATCAAATGGCAATTCTAGACGATAAAAAACAAAGAGAAGAAAATATAATTGAACTATAGAGATCAAATGTACCGCTTTCAGCCTTCTGCTCTTTTGATCTTATCACTTTTCATTTTCTATATACGCGCTGCAATAGACAGTGGGGTACTTCTACACGACAATCACATCCCTATCTAGCGACTGATTATATTAGCTATATAACAGAACAAGAAAAAAAAACTATTGGTTGAAAAATATATATCATTGGATAAACAAAAGAAGGAATTATTAACGCAAGTAATAGATGACCCTAGTTATAGAAAGCTATAATAGATAACACTGATAGATTCCAATTAATTACAACTAGTAAACGGATTAAATAATACATAACAAAGAGCATTTGCTATGTACAAAAGACGAACAGAGACATAAACGAACGTCATAAAAAACGAAGAAAAACAATAGAAAACATAAAGGAAGAAAAACAATACGAAACATAGAAAGATAAAACAAAACAGAGCAAAAGCTTTATTAAACCAAAACAAAAAGTACAAAATTTTAACTTACTTCAGTCGGATACAGTTCTTTAATTTGTTTCATCAAATTTTCAAACGGCCGGTCCTCAAATTTTCGTCTCCACATGAATTCCGTAAGATACGTTTGTAGGAGTGTTACCGACATACCCATCATACTCTTCTTTTTTCTTTTCGCACACATCCACACATTTTCCACATTTTGTGTGTGCACCGCTGTTTCTAGATCCACAAAATTTAATGAATGGTTGACTGTATAATGTCATGAAAGCCCAAAATGGTACTTTTTTGTTAATAAGCCAGTCCACAATTAATTGTTTCTTCCAAGCTCGTTTAGGAGCTTCACTTTCAGGTGTCAATTTGTTGTGCCACGTCGCATTATCTATTCTCAATGTACTGGCAGCGGTTTCCATCCATGACGAAAAGTGGGCGCTGTCCATACTATGTACATCATCACATTTGAATATGTCCAACGAGCGTAAATGAAATCCATCGAGACTAACCAGCCCACTGATAGCCAACCTCTGTCCCATTCCTTCACTGTTCCTTAAACGTCCATGTCCATTCTCATCAAACCACACATTTGTTTTCTCCTCATTCTTGCTGCACCATATTTCATCGTGATAATAAATAATGGCATTCGACGATCTCAATTCCTCCAATTTACGGAAATAAATTGCCCGTTGGGCCTGAAATGGCGTACCATCAAGTAAGACAGGTGCCTTTCGAGTCTGTCCATACGTAAAGCCTAATCGTTTCATTTCCCGATGTAGAGGTGCCTTTGATTTAATGGGAAAATGTTCGTCTTGGGACGGCAATGCAGATAAAATATTTTCTAGTGTTGGGTATACACGATCTTTCAATAACAGATGGAATGTCAATCGAATAGTGTCTCTTTGTAGTTCAGTCAGAAGAATTTTGGGACGACCAGCTCGATGTTTCAACGGAGATAATGCACGAGGAATAGACGAAGATGAAGAAGCAGAAGCCGATGTAGTGCGACGTAGAGAATGCTGGCTACTCTGTTGTTCTTTTTCGACAGCCAGGGTCTCTCGCATTTCTGCTTTCAAACGTTTGACCGATTTATTTGAAATTCCGAAAATGGCTTCAAGACGACCATTAACATTATTCAAGGGAATAATTGTACCAGCCCTTTCCTTTTGGACAAAATTGATAACCCGAAAAGCAAGTTGCTTAAATTCTTTTGACAACTCCTTCGGCATTGTGAATGTAATAACAGCAGTATGGATAGAGAGCTCTCTCCGAACAAGTGTGACAACGAGAAAAGAAATAGACTCATACAGATGCACCATCGCCACGTGTACGTGGCCTAAAGTTGTCTATATCATTCACTTGTAAGAAGAAAATAGGGGAGAGAAGAGGAGAAAACGTTGATATTTTTGATTTTGCATGAAAATAAATATCTACCATCGCTTTTAGTGGCTGTTTACAATTTGGGAGAAGGCAATAGACACTGCCATCGTGATCAGCATCATCAAATACCTAGATAGAATTTTTTTCATGCTATGTTGACCAAAAAAAGCGTTCTTTTGGGTACCTGCAGGAAATCTGCTCCCCCTGCCAAACGATGCATTTTCACGAGCTCGCTTGACTCCCATTTTGAAGAGGACACTTTAGGCTACAATCCCATATAAAAAAACGATCGGGTTTCTATACGACTTTCGGGAGCTCTGACCTGGTTTTTGAAATCAAAACACGAAACGAACTTGAAGATGTAACAATTACAGCAAAACAGAAGAATTTTAATTTAATAATCTAGTAAGCAATCGATAACATTTATGGCATCTTTGAGTATTTTAATGTTCTTCTAGTGATACTTTTATTAAATTTTGCCCTTATTCAACTGCATTATTTATTCAGCAACCCTTTAGACTGATTAGGGAGCATGTCAAAATTTCAATTCTAATTTAGTTTATTTTGTATAATTTCGGTTCCTTTGATTTTATTGTGGATACATACATTGACATATATATACTTCCAATATGTTGGTTTTTTAACAGATCTCTTTATAAGAGCAGACGTTTTTCTGTTTAAAGAATAAAATCAGATAGTAACTAGTACAACTAGTACAGTAAGTAAAAACTGGCACAAAAGATGGAAATGGTCTTCCCTAGTGAGTGTAGATTCTGTTCGCGGAGCTGCTGGATTACGAAATAAGTTTCCAGCGAGCCTCACTGTAGTGTATATATTGACTAGAATTATCCGGCTCTGCTTTTATGCCAGTTTCAAGTACCCAAGTTGTACTCTGTGCCGACCTGTATTTTAGAAAAGATACTTTCTCAGATAAATTTTATGTGTGTAATACGGAAAAATGAGCAAATCAACCATCAAATGGAGTACACAACATGGATATACGATGATTCTTCTGTTAAACTCAATATAAGAGAAGAAATACTATTTTCGTCGAATATTCAGTTTAGTCAGTATGAACATACGTCCAAATTTTCATTGTTGGAATATGATTCAAGATGTTCTGAAGCAAATAGGAAGTAATTAGTCTTCTATCTAATCGATACATTTTGACAGGCTTGTACGAAAATGATTAAGGGCTTATCAACAACCTTGTATGCTTGTAATCTATCGGAATAAAATTTGCTTCTTTTTCCTTATTTTGCACATAAAATTTAACTGAGAAAGAATCTTTTTCTAAAATATAGCTCGGCACAGAGTACAACTTAGGTATTTGAAATAAGACAGTTACGTATAAAACAGTGCTAAATTATGTCATGTCGTACCTATACCGACCTAAGGATCGGAGTAACGACCGATCGGAATATATTCTGAAACGCTCAGTTACTCTTCGATCTAGTTGATACATTTTGACAGGCTTATACAAAACTGATTAAGAGCTTATCAACAATCTTCTATACTTGCACTCTACCGAAATAAAATTTGTACACGATTTGTATTCGAGAACGTTACACATTTAAATCCTCATACATCTATCGACGACGGCAATAAAAGTATATATTTTCCTTATGTTTAGCTGTGATACTGACAGCCCACTTTCAAAGAAAGCAAAATGTATCTTTTTTCTAAAATATAGCTCAGCAGATAGTACAACTTGGGTACTTCTGACTGGCCCTAAAAATGATTTTGACTTCATAATGGTTTTTACCCGTTTGAACACACATTACCTCTAACTATTATGACCCGAAGAGAAAGTCAGAAATTCATGGTAGTCGGAAAGCGTTGTTCTAGCTGCTAATCATCGATACTGAAAGCCATACATCTCAAAAACTAAAAGGGTCTTTTTCTAGAAAATAGATCAGTATATAGTACAACGTCTGTACTTCAAACTAGTATAAGAAGTGGAGATGGACCCTTTCTAGTTAATTTAATTTTAATCTGAGAAGTTGCAGGAATATTAGACGAGCACTGGTTCTTTTGGACATTGAATAACTGAATATATAGATTAAAATAGAAAGTTTGTTCTTTTCTGTAGGCCGCTTGTCTCGAAAACTCGCTTTTTTTACGATCAAAAGAGGAGAAGACTGAAAGCAGTACATTTGATCTCTATAGTTCAATTATATTTTCTTCTCTTTGTTTTTTATCGTCTAGAATCGCCATTTGATAGGATTTCTGTTCTGTAACCAAGCAATAGAAGAGGACTACAGCTACTCAGAAAACCTCGAAAACTCGGCAAACATGTTCTAAAACAGCTTTAAATCATGAATAATCCGGACAGACGTTGTCGTTTCTCTGAAACAATCACTTTTGTTCAACAGCGTTATATTCAACGAGAATAAACGCTACTCACTTTAGCACCTTGTATAAAAGTAATTATCTTCGCAACCATTGAAACGTCATTGATGAAACTTTCAGAAAATGTTTAACTAATAGTCGTTAGTCATTACCCAAAATTTCAGCTCAATCCGTCTCGCGAGTAAAAAGTCGACTTTTTCAGCTCTCTCATAATGTTATTGATATGCTCATCGGTATAAAAATTGAAAAATTAAGCTAAATATTCATATTGATACTGATACCAATAACAAGAGAAAAGATTGTTTATTGAAGTTGAAAATAGTACAAGAGTATTTAACACTGAGCTACAAAAATTTACTAGTCAAATTCGAGCAGATCCTCAATTGACAATTATTGAAAGACCCCCAATATCAGTTCAAATATATTTAATTTTAAGAATAAAATAACGAGCTGTCTAAAGTCTGATGTTATTTATGATGTTAAATGTAACTACTCTGGTTCACGATATATGGGCAAAATTCAGATAAGCATGAAGACGACTCTTCGAACATGGATTATCGAAGGATACTTATGGTTCGCAATCGCCTCTACCACTATCTAACATGGACTTATCCTATATGACCATAGCAACGCAATCAGTGAAAACCGCTCAAGCAGCTGACAGTCTGCTAGCCTTTGATCTGAAAAACGCTTAGAACACAAGATATAAATTTGCCGTACAAGTTATCAAAAATATCAAAATTTTAAATTTAAGAGATTCCGTTAGTTGGAAAACTTTTATTGTTTCAACATTAATAAATAATTAAAATATGAGATCTTCAAATACACGGCTTCTTAACTTAGACCTTTATGCATCTTGTAATCTAATCACGTTATTGGCTCCTAATCGTTTTCATTTGTTCATTAGAACTAACAAACTCGTTCAAGCAAAGGTGGCAGTCAGCAATATATTTATGATTTACAGCTTTACTACAAAACAATTAGTACAACTATATGATCCGAGATTTTTAGACTTTTTGTTCAGGGACCTGTGTCTTTGCGAAGTCTTCTTTTTGTCTTCTTTTATTTCTTTCACGTC